AATGGTATCTCTCTGTTGCATGAACTTCAGGTTTTCTCTTATTAGCAAAATCTAAGACATTCAATTGAATCAAGTAACATAATGGGAATAGCGAGTTTAAGTACCTCAGGAGATTTTTCACATTCTAATGAGTTAAGGTTTCAAGTGATCTTGAAGTAATTAGCTCCCAGGGTTTTACCAGTAATATCCCAATTCCTCTCTTTTAAATAACTGTAAAATAACATTTTTGATGTCTAGTATTGAGGATTGCTATAAACTCTGGAGGAATTCCAGGCCCTAAGTAAATAACTGTTGTGAGCCTTTCCATTTCTCTCCTGTAAAACGCTACTAGTATTAATAATAAAGGTATCCTGAATGAAGACTCTTGGAACCCAAATTGTACCTCAGAGTACTATACAATTTATGTAAAACTCAACAAGTATAAGCAGAAGAAGACCTGATCTCTTCCTTTAATGAACTTCTAATTGACTGGGGAGACAGCACTAACATAAATGAAATCATCTTATTATTAACAATGAAACTCAGTGTTGACAGTTTTAAGTCTACCAGGAGTTTAGAAGGTTTGGCTGAGGCACAGATGGCACTGAATGGAAGCCGCATGAAATATTTGTTGGTGCTATAGCACGTCACCATATGTATACTGTTCTTTTTCTCTGTCTTTCTTTTCATACATTCAGTCTTTAAACACTTAGTACCATTGCATACCAGGCACTGTTCTAAGTACTAGGGATACAAAGATAAATAAGATACAGTCAATTACCCTCAAGGAATTTATAGTAAAGGGGATGGAAGACTAACAAATCATTGCAATCCAATATGGTAAGTACATATTTAGAGGCATATACCAGGTACATGGTGACATAAAGTGGAAAGAGATCAACACCCGGTGGACAGGATTTTTCCAGTGGACAACATTCCAAGAAGGGCATTCCAAGCAGAGGTAAGGCACATGGGAAGGTATCTAGGCATGAAATAGCCTGGCCTATTTGAGTAAGCTGTGCATATAAGAATAATAAAGAGTAATTGTGGACAGTGGTGTACCGGTAAGCTGACTCTCAAAAAAGAGGAAAAAATCCCTGATTTGTAGCTTAAATTTTATCCTATAAGCACATTAATGGTGATATCCACTATCGTTGCTTAACCCCACTGGTAAGACTTGGACTGAAGAGGTTGTCGACTGCATCTCAAGTATTTCTTCCTCAAATGTATAAGCTTATTATTCCTGTTGATAATATAGCATTTTCTCAGATCTAAGACATCATCAAATTGTAATCATGCCACTTACTTAATAAAAAAAGGAGCAATAAGTATACTACCACGTTAAATGTACACATTGGTTGTGTGATGCATCCCAGTATCAGAAACACTAAAATGTGGGGGGAATTACACCTTAGAATTGGCCAAATTTCTTATTTAGGGGCTGGACCTGGTCTCTATATAACAATCCAAACCAGAGACTTCAAAAAGAAGACCTCTGTTTAAGCTGAAGAGGATAGTAACACAAACAATCTGTTTAAGTACAAGAAGGGATTTGGGATCTAAAAATTCAGGAGGACCTGGGATTTATACCTGGGATGCAGGGCTAGTTCAATATCCGCAAA